CGCCCAGCCTCGGCCTCCGCGCGCTGCCGGGAATGGAAACCGAGATGGCAAGGACTGGCTACTAGGGATTCGGGGGTTCTGGTGCAGACAAATAAAACTCCTAGGTGTTTATTCACTTCATGGCCGCCTGGACTGAGGTACCCGGGGTAAAAGACCCGGCAGATGCCTTTAGCAAATATGGCGGCAATCTGGCTTCAGTTGCCACTGGTTGTACTTTAGGGCCCCTTTCTTGAGCATATCAAATATGGCGCCTTACTGGCTCCTCTGGCTTTGGGCCCCCTCTTGCCCTTAAAAACAGTGGCCGCCTCAAGAGCTTTTGCATTGGTACTGCGGGACGGTTGGCCGGGAAACCAGAAAAACCTTCTTGCCTCCAAGAAAGATGGACACAGCGGCGGTTCCACCGGCCTCCGTCCCGCGTCGATACACAGTGGTCGCTGATTGGCTGTAACCAGGTGAAGAAACTGCGTCGTGATTGGTCCCGGACTGGCGGTGCATTTGAAAGGCTCGGAGCCGGAGAATCCTCTGACAGAGAGGTATACCCGGAAAACCTCGGCTCTGGAGGACCCCACGGTTGTGACCCCGACGGCCTTCGAGCAGGCCTTTCCTCGGCGGGATCTGCTGTTTGGTCGCAACCACCCACCCTGGGAACCCAAGCCGAGGAGGAAGCCAGGTGTGTACGCCTTTACAGTTGAGGAGCCGACGGGACCGTTTGCGGCCTTGGCTCCGCTCCTTCGTTCTCTGGCTGGAGCTGCAGCAGCTTAGCGAGGATGGAACTGGAATGGGGAAATGTTAAATTACTGTAATTTTTGCCAAATTATGAAAGTACATGCTTTTTTAAAAGTAATTTAAAGGCCGGGGATTTAGCTCATGGTTCTGGCGCCTGCTTCACAAGCACAACGACCCGACTTCGATCCCCGGTACCAAAAAAAAAAAAAAAAAAAAAAGTAATTTAAAGCTTAATGTGGCTTGGGCCGGGGATTTAGCTCAGTGGGTTCTGCTGCCTGCCTCGCAAGCTCAAGGACCCGAGTTTGATTCCTGGTACCCCACCCCCCCCCAAAAAGCTTAATGTGGCGCACGCCTGTAATCCCATCACTCAGGAGGCTGAAGCTGGAGAATCGCTGTGAGTTTAAGACCAGCCTGAACCGCATTTTTATTTTTATTATTTATTCATTTAAATGTTTTGTTTTGGGGTTTTTCTTGGGGGGATGTTGTTTTTTTTTGGTTTTTTTTGGGGGGGTACTGGGGATTGAACTCGGGTCTTTGCGCTTGCAAGGCAGGCCACCAAACCATATTATTTATTCATTTAGAGGCAGGGTCTCGTTATGTATTCCAGGCTGGCCATGAACTCAGTAGTCCAGGCTGACTTCCATCAAACTCATGGTGATTCTCCTGCCTCAAGTGCCTTCGTAACCAGGCTGGCCTGCCGGCCTGCCTACCGGCCTGCCTGCCTTCTTGCCTTCTTTCTTTTCTTTCTTTCTAACAAGGTCTTGCTTTGTACTTAAGGTGATCCTCCTGTCTCAGCCTCCCAAGTGCTGGGATTAATTATAGTTGGGCATGGTTGGCTTGCTTTTGGAGACAGGGTCTCCTTATGTAGTGCAGAATTACTTTGGGTTTTTTTCTTTTTGGTACTGGGGACCAAATTCAGGACCTTGTGCTTGCGAGGCAGGTGCGGTGCCACTGAGCTAAACCCCTGGCCTGAGTACAGCCTTTCTTTGAATTTACAGTAGTCCTGCCTCAGCCATCTGAGTGCTAGGATTACAGGCGTGCACCATGCCTGGCTAATTGAGCACTTTATTTTTTTAAATTTTATTTTATTTTTTGAGACAGGGACTCACTATGTAGTTAAGGCTGGTCTGGAACTCATGGTGATCCTCCTTCCTCAGCCTCTGGAATGCTGAGATTACAGTAATGTGCTACCCCACCTGGCTAGTGAGCACTTTAGAGGGAGAATAAAGAGATAGGAGAAAGGGGTGAACAGAGTCTAAGTAGAGTCTGGGAAGAGAAAAATTACAGAAGTTAGGAAGGATGTGTTCATCCACAGGAAAGCCACGTGGTTTTGCTAACTGGCACTTATCAAAGTTGTGCCCTTACCCTCCCAGAGCAGGGAAGAAGACAGGAGGAGCCCTGTCTTCAAGTGCTGGCTGAAGCAAACAGTAAATTCTTTTGGCAGCCTTGAGTTTTCTTAGGGTAGGAACTTTAAAGGGGATGGGGTCATCCTACAGATGTGGCCTTGAGCTGTCAGAAACCATTAGTGTTTTGTCTAATTGCTTGTAGACCAATGCGGCTCTCTGGGGGGACCCCGTCCCGCGGGGAATAGGAGGTGAGAGCCGCCTCTTATTCGTGGGTCATCAGAGGCCGATCCGATCTTGAATGTCTGTGGAGGAAATCTTTAAGAAGTTAGAGTACACGGCCCAAGTCTGGTTTCTGATCAAAGGCTCTTTATTGGCTCAGCAAAACGATTATATACTGTTATCCCAGGGGGAAGGTTCAGCAAGCTTATTGGACAGTTCAAACAAATCAATCACATGAGTCACTCAAGCATTTAACCATACAGCAATCAGTATTTTACCAAATGTGGGGAGGGGTAAGTGGGAAGGCGTACATCAACAATTAACCCTATGCAATCTTTAACTTCACAATC